AGTGCTACAACTCAGTTACTAAATTGAATTAACCTGGAGTTTGCAGGCCAGAAAGTAGAGATAAGATATTTTTTTGGAATGAGGAGGGCTTTGCCCCTGTAATAGTTGTTGAACAGCCTGGCTTATGGAGGGTGATCGGGAACTGATTTGGAGAGATACTGGAGGCCATTGTCACAAAAACCTGCCGTTGCCATGGCAGTCTTGGCATTCCCACCCTTCCAGATCCCTTCGGTTCCTCCCTCTCCCAACTGCACCACAGCATTTGCCCCATACATCCTAAATCTTACTCCTCTTGTGCTTCCCTCTCTCTTTCTGCCACTTCTCTGCCTAAGGCCCTGCTCCATCCCATCCCCCATTCTTCTGTAGGAGAAAAGAGGGTACCTAAGCCAGAGACTTAAGTTCTCTGAGTGTGTGTTGCTCTTCTCCACTTCTCACTAAGTTTTGAGTGGGACTGTTTTCTTCTATGTATCTCTCACTATTTGGCGAGATGTTTTGCACATTGGGGTGCCTCAGTGGAATTGCGTTGAATGAATGTGTTAACTGAATGAGCTTCAGGGCCAAGAAACCAATGGCTTCTGAGAAATGCTGCACAGCCTCCTACCTACACCTTCTCTAGAGACATAAGACATTTGGGATGGTACTGTGGGGGAGAGCTGAGGGGCAGGCTGACCTAGGAAATGTCCTGTGAGGATAAAACCAACAGAGAATAGTACAGAGGCATTATAGAAGAGTGGTAAGAATAAGGCTCTGGAAAGAAGCCTAGCTCTTACTCTCTCTTGTGGAATGACCTTGACAGAGTTATATAACCTCTCTGAGCCTCAATTACCTCATCTGTAAAATGGGGTAGTACTAGGTCAGGTTCTGGAGAGGAGTTTTTTAAAATGTATATAAAGTGCTTAACACAGTACCTGGCATGTTATAAGTATTCACTAAATGCTAGCAATTACCATCACAATGGGAGCCACAGGGAGCTGTGAGGATAAGTGAGGATGCTGAGGAATAGGACAGAACTTAAATGAAGGCACCCAGACCTCCAAATGCTTGACTCAAACAGAAGGATCACTGATCCAGTAAGACATCAGGATTCAGGGGAGTGGGGCGAGGAGTCTGCCGGGTCAGCCTGCTCCAGTGTTTCCCTGACTCTGTTCAGGAACATGAAGGCAAACACAGAAGGGCATGTGCAGAGAGACACACGTGATCACGGCAAGTGATGCAGAGGCAGTCCCAGACAAAAGACCGAGACAGGAGCCAGGCAGACACACAGACAGAGACAGCCCCTCGGAGTCGTGTAGACAGGCATAATGACAGGAACGCATCAGACACAGGCACTGATGGAGACAAGATGAGCAGATATGCAGGTGCACACGGAGACAGACACCGGGACTCATACACAGCCGACCTTGTCAGAGAGACTGGTGAACACAGCGGTCCAGTCAGAGGCAGACACAAGGCTCGCAGTGACACATAGCGGGCCAGGGCCGGCACTGTCACTTCTCGGTGGGGGGCGGGGAGGGGCCAGCAGCGAGGGAAGGCTGGGGAAGGGAATCCCGAGCGGGCGGCCTGCCCGGGGTGGCTGAGTCAGAGCGGAGCCCCAGCCGGCGGCCCTCCCCTACGCCTCCCCCTCCCCCAGGTAAGAAGCGAGCTGTAACCCCTCGCTTCCACCAGGCAGAACGGAGCCTGACAGGGAGCGGGACGCGGCGGGGTTCCGGGCCGGCCCCACCTCCTCGCGCGTGCCGCGTGCCTGCTAACTCCCTGCTCGGTAATACCCTAATTGCGGGGTCTTGTCTTTGGCCGGCACGTGAATCTGCGTGCTCACGTCTGGACCCTCATCCCTCGCGGCGGGAGCGGTGTGCGGAGGGGCTCCTCCGGCCTGGAGCCCAGAGAGAGTTAAGTGGGTGTGTTTGATAGAGTGGGTCCCTCTCGGGGCGCTAGGGGGAGGGGGCCGGTTAAAGTCCCCGAGTCCAGAGCCCGGATGGAGGGGGCGGAGCTGGGCTTAGCCGGGAGTGCCCGGATGGAGAGGGCGTGGCCTCGGCAGGAGAAGAATTAACCCTTTCTGAGCGGCTGACTCCCAGTACTGTGGGTCCGACTGGAGAGGCTGGAATGCCTGCCCCAGAAGTATACCGTCCTCTTTGGCCGTGTGCGTCTACCTCTCATCTGTCTTTGAGGAGTCTCTGGGTGTCTGTCTTTGTGCCTGCCGGTGATTGTCCCCTCCCCTGGGTTAGTACGGACGCCAAGAGTCGGGGAGGGCTATTCCTGCCCCAAAGCGAGAGTGGAGGTGAGAGTGGACCGCAAGCCGGCTGCTGGCGCCTGGGGAACAGGTGTGACCGCGGCGTCGGGGCTGCCCGGCGCGGGGAGGGGCCGTCATGGGGGAAGACGAGAGGGGAAATTCCGCGGGACCGGTGGGGAGCGGTGTGTGGGCTGAGTTGTGTCTGCCTCTGACTGTGTGTGTCTGTGTGTGTTCAGGGAGGCGGGGGCTGAGTCAGTGGGAATAGGGGAAGGTTTTCTGGGTGACTCATGCTCCCCCACCCCAAGCCTGAATCAGACCCCGAGGGAGGGCTTTGTACAGGAGGCGGATGGGAAGTCAGGCGCCTGGGTCCCTGGTGGGGACAAGGATCCGAGGTGGTTGGCGAGAGTGAGTGTGTGTTTAGTGTACAGGAAGTTTTTGTTCTCAAGTGAGGGCTGCTGTATTCCGAGTACCGGCGTAGGGGTTTGTGGATAGAGGTGGAAAGGGGCTGGCCGACGGGACTCGCTGTTTTAGGGAAAGCTGAGTCAGTTCCCCGTGGGAAAGGGGAAGTGGTAGAGGGGAAGTGTCATCATCGCAGAAGGGGAAGCTGCATTTCCTGGTAACTGGCAGCGCCCTCGGCACCACTTCCCAATCGGGGATCTGTTCCTCTGATGTCTGGACCCCGGGTTCCCCGTTTTCCCATGTCTGGTCCATGGGTCCCGGGACTTAGGTGGGGGCAGCCGGCCAGGGCTATGCTTGACTGCAGTTAAGCGCTGTGCTTGGCCCAGGGCTCGGTAACTGACATAAAGGCTGTATGGTGAGGAGAGAGAGTTCTGACCGAAACTCCGCGTGAACCGCGGAGAGGGTCCGCAGAGCCCAAGCGCCTACTAGGGCTCGCCGGGGAGTGGCACGCCGGGACCTGTAGGGTCCAAGCGCTTGCGTGCAAACAGACGACCTTGCCCTGCAGATCGAGGACTGTTTTCACCAGAAACCCGAATGCCCTTGTGGGCTGGGTGGAAATTTCCCCACAGCTCAGACTTCTCTCGGCGAAGGCGAACTTTCCAGCCGCCCCCAGCCCCTCGTCGCGCGTTCTCCCCCGGCTTCCTGCCCGGCGCTAGCTCCAGCTGGAGCGCTGGCCCCGCCCCCGCCGCTTTGTACTCTACACTCGCCTCTCGCAGCTCTTTGTACTCTAGACTCTCAATGGACCGATCCCGGGAGCGGAGCCGGCTTCCTACCTGCGGGGACGCGGGGTAGGCGAGCAGGACGCGCGGGGACCGAGATCCTGGCTCAGAGAGGCGAGAAGGAAGAACTGGGGCTAAAGGGAAGGTGCCCAGGAAGGGGAGCGCTGCTCCCGTCGTGGGTCGAGCCAGCACCGACGGGAAGGGGTTGGGGGGGGTGAAGGAGGAAGTGAAACGGGTTCTGGGTTCTTTAAGGGAGTGGGCGGTGAGAGTGGGACAAGGGTGATGTCACCGCCGGGCGGGCCCCGCCCTCCTCCTTCCTCCCTCCTTCCTCCCTCCCGAAGGACCCCCCCCCCCCGTACTCTTACACACGCCGCTTCCGCTGCGCAAGTAGCCACGTCACGGGCAACCCCCGAAATCCCCCCTCCCTTGGGGGGCGGGGGCCACGTGGGCCGTGGGGAGCCGCGTGGCCCCGGCGGGGAAGGGCATAGAGGATACGGGAGCCACGCGAGAGGGGCCACTCGGGACCGCTGTGCGCGACTTCTCAGAAGTTGGGGGATTAGAGGACGGTTTTGGTTTTGGGGGTCGGTTGGTATTGAAGGCCTACAGAACCAGGGGAAGTGGAGGAGCTGAAGGAACTGGGTATGAAACTGGGGGCTTGACCATGGTTTGGGATGGGGGTCAGGCGTGGTGGGTGGAGCGCTCAGATCGCGGCGCGGGCAGGTTTGGGTGCCTTAGAAGTCGCCGTGAGTGGCCAGCCCTAAACAGTTCCTAGGGGGTGGGGAGGTCAGGCACTGGGCGAGGTGAAGTGAGGAGGGGGAGCGCCACCTGTGTCGGCGTTGTGCATCCGTCTGCTGTCCGTCGGTGTTAGGCGGCGGGGTAGGGGGCGTTTCGGGCGGTCTAGCGCGGACCACCGGCGGCTCTGTGGGCGCGTGGGACTTGCGGGTAGCTCCATGCCCCAGGTCGGCCCGAACGTGCGACCCGCCGCCTTCACCCGCACGGGTTTCAGGCTCCGCTTGCCTCGACCGGCCTAGTGTCAGCTTGGAGATGGAGACCCTAGGTGGGAGCCGCGGGGTCACGTCGGGGTCACCCCGGGCAGAGCCTGTCTGACCGGCTCCGCCGCCCCTCCTCCCCCGGCAGCGGCCGGGCTAACCTCGCTCCTATTGGTCCCGGCCAGGCTGTTACTGAGGCGGAGACACGGGTGATGATTGGTTTTCTGGGGAGAGAGGAAGTCCTGTGATTGGTCAGGTCTCCGGAGCTCGCCGACGCCGGGAGAGAAAGCTCCCACGGAGGCCGGGTAAGCGGCCGCAGCGCTGCAGCTCGGCCCGCGGGGCTCCCTGCTGGAAGCCTAGCAGCGCAGCCACCCCATCGCACCGACTGGCCCTCCCGCTGCCCCCACTCCCCTGAGGCTCCTTAGGCCGGGTGGGCCGCTCCTCAGGGATAGCCAGCCTTGCGCAGATCACAGACCTGTGGGCGCCACAGCCAGGCCAGCCCAGCCCAGCCCAGCCCAGCCCAGCCTAGCCTGCGGCCCCGACTGTGTGCTGGCCCGCTCACCTTACTCCTTTCCCCCTCCTCTCCGTAGAATTGTCTGTGAAAGGCCCTGGGCGACCATCTGGGGGCAGTGGGCACTCCTGTCAGAGCGGCTGGAGCCGGACCATCGCCCCAAGGAGCTGGGGCAGGGGGCCGTGCCCGATCTCTGGGGCCACTGCTGACCTGGTAAGGGAAGACTGGGGCCGCGTCGGCTGTGTGTACCCTGACAGCTCAGTCTCTGTTCCCAGTAGGATCATAATCTCTTCTCCTTGACACAGGCTGGATGCATCGGGCAGTGGACCCTGCAGGGGCCCGCGCTGCACGGGAAGCCTTTGCCCTTGGGGGCTTGAGCTGTGCTGGGGCCTGGAGCTCCTGCCCGCCCCATCCCCCTCCTCGGAGCGCATGGCTGCCTGGAGGCAGGTGAGAACTTGGTCTGTCTCTCTGCCTCCAGGCACTCCTCTTCCCATCTCTGCTCCTCAGTCTCTCATTTCTGCCATCCCGTGGGCCTCAGTGCAGTCCTCAGCTGCTTTCTCTTGTTTCCTCAGTCCCCTCCTTCCTAGGTAGGGACAAGACTTCCAGCTTGCTGTACATTAACAGAGCCCTTCTCTCTCCAGGTGCTCTGCCAGCATCGGGCAGCCCCCACTCCCTGCTCCCCTACCTCCTTCACACGGCAGTAGCTCTGGCCACCCCAACAAACCGTATTATGCTCCAGGGTGAGTGAGGATTGAAAGGTGCTGGGGATGGGAGGTAAGGCTGGGGCCTTAAAAGAGTTCGCCAAGCCTTGCCACCTCCCCCCGCCTTCTGCTCTGTAGGACACCCACCCCAAGACCCCTCCATGGGAAGCTGGAATCCCTGCATGGCTGTGTGCAGGCATTGCTCCGGGAGCCGGCCCAGCCGGGGCTGTGGGAGCAGCTTGGGCAGCTGTACGAGTCAGAGCACGACAGTGAGGAGGCTGTACGCTGCTACCACAGCGCCCTTCGATACGGAGGAAGCTTGGCTGAGCTGGGGCCCCGCGTCGGCCGACTACAGCAGGTGGGATGAGGCAGGACACAGGGGGCTAGGATTGTGCGTTCTGACTCAGTGCCCTCGTCTTATGTCTGCCTCTGCCCTGTGCTCTGCACTCTTCCCCCACCTCCTCAGGCCCAGCTTTGGAACTTTCATGCCGCCTCCTGCCAGCACCGACCCAAGGTTCTGCCTCCCCTGGAGCAAGTGTGGAACTTGTTGCACCTTGAGGTGAGGCTGGGACTGGGCGGGCTAGGGAGGAGGGCCGGGCCAGGTCTGCACCGGTGCCATTCTCTCTGTTTCCGTCCTCAGCACAAACGGAACTATGGGGCCAAGCGGGGGGGTCCCCCGGTGAAGCGAGCCGCCGAACCCCCGGTGGTGCAGCCTATGCCTCCTGCAGCACTCTCAGGCCCCTCGGGGGAGGAGGGCCTCAGCCCTGGAGGCAAACGCAGGAGAGGCTGCAACTCTGAGCAGGTATGATTGTATGTGGGCGGGCCAGCAGCGAGTGGGCAGGCTGGGGTGAGGAGTGGGACTCTCACACTCTGTTTTCTTCCAGACTGGCCTTCCCCCAGGGCTGCCGCTGCCTCCGCCACCATTACCCCCAGCCCCACCCCCGCCTGGCCTAGCCACCAGCCCTCCATTCCAGCTGACCAAGCCAGGGCTGTGGAGTACCCCGCATGGAGATGCATGGGGCCCCGAGCGCAAGGGTTCAGCACCCCCAGAGCGCCAGGTGAGCACCTCTCTGTGGCCCCCTCACCTCTTATCTCCAGCCCCTGTGTCCTTCGTTCCTCACGCAGTGTCCTCCTTTCTCGCCCACAGGAGCAGCGGCACTCGCTGCCTCACCCATATCCATACCCAGCTCCGGCCTACCCTGTGCACCCCCCCGGCCACCGGCTGGTCCCGGCTGCACCCCCAGGCCCCCGCCCCCCAGGAGCAGAGAGCCATGGCTGCCCGGCTGCCACCCGTCCCCCTGGAAGTGACCTTAGAGAGAGCAGAGTTCAGAGGTCGCGGATGGACTCCAGCGTTTCACCAGCAGCAACCACCGCCTGCGTGCCTTACGCCCCTTCCCGGCCCCCTGGCCCCCCCGGCACCACCACCAGCAGCAGTAGCAGCAGGAGCAACCCTGGTCTCCGGGGCGTGGAGCCGAGCCCAGGCATTGTGAGTGACAACTGCAGGTGGTGGGCGGAGCGGTGGGGGGGATGAGTGGAGCTGGTCTAGGGTGGCTGGAGCAGCCCTCTGACCACCGCCGTCCTACACTTGCAGCCCGGTGCTGACCATTACCAAACTCCCGCGCTGGAGGTCTCCTCTCACCCAGGCCGCCTTGGGCCCTCAGCACACAGTAGTCGGAAACCATTCCTGGCGGCTCCCGCTGCCACTCCCCACCTGTCCCTGCCACCCGGCCCCTCCTCACCTCCTCCTCCCCCTTGTCCCCGCCTCTTACGCCCTCCACCCCCCCCTGCCTGGCTGAAGGGCCCAGCCTGCCGAGCAGCCCGTGAGGATGGAGAGATCTTAGACGAGCTCTTCTTCGGGGCTGAGGGACGCCCCCGCCCTCCCCCGCCACCCCTCCCCCACCGCGAGGGCTTCTTGGGACCTCCGGCCCCCCGCTTTTCTGTGGGCACTCAGGATTCGCACACCCCTCCCGCTCCCCCAACCACCAGCAGCAGCAACAGTGGCAGCCACAGCAGCAGCCCTACTGGGCCTGTGTCCTTCCCTACACCTTCCTATTTGGCCAGAAGTATGGACCCCCTTCCCCGCCCCCCCAGCCCAACACTGAGCCCCCAGGACCCACCTCTTGCACCCCTGACTCTTGCCCTGCCTCCAGCCCCTCCCTCCTCTTGCCACCAGAATACCTCAGGAAGCTTCAGGCACCCGGAGAGCCCTCGGCCCAGGGTCTCCTTCCCAAAGACCCCCGAGGGGGGGCCGGGGCCATCCCCAGGCCCCCTGAATAAAGCCCCCCAGCCTGTGCCGCCCAGGGTTGGGGAGCTGCCTGCCCGAGGCCCTCGACTCTTTGACTTCCCCCCTACCCCACTGGAGGACCAGTTTGAGGAGCCAGCTGAATTCAAGATCCTACCTGATGGGCTGGCCAACATCATGAAGATGCTGGATGAATCCATTCGCAAGGAGGAGGAGCAGCAACGACATGAGGCAGGCGTGGTCCCCCCGCCTCCTCTGAAGGAGCCCTTTACATCTCTGCAGCCTCCATTCCCCACTGACACAGCCCCAGCCACCACTGCTGCCACCGCCGCCACCACCCCGGCCACCCAGGAAGAGGAGAAGAAGCCACCACCAGCCCTGCCACCACCGCCGCCTCTAGCCAAGTTCCCGCCACCACCCCAGCCACCGCCAACTGCGCGAGCCCCACCAGCCAGCCCGGCCAACCTGCTCAAGTCTTTGGCTTCCGTGCTGGAAGGACAAAAGTACTGTTACCGGGGGACTGGAGCAGCTGTTCCCACCCGGCCTGGGCCCTTGCCCACCACTCAGTATTCCCCCGGTTCCTCTTCAGGTGCTACCGCCCCACCGCCCACCTCCGCGGCCCCGAGCGCCCAGGGCTCCCCACAGCCCTCCGCTTCCTCGTCATCTCAGTTCTCTACCTCAGGCGGGCCCTGGGCCCGGGAGCGCAGGGCGGGCGAAGAGCCAGCCCCGGGCCCCATGACCCCCGCACCCCCGCCCCCACCCCTGCCGCTGCCCCCTGCTCGTTCTGAGTCTGAGGTGCTAGAAGAGATAAGTCGGGCCTGTGAGACCCTTGTGGAGCGGGTGGGCCGGAGCACCGCAGACCCGGCCGACCCAGTGGACACGGCAGATCGAGCGGACAGCGGGACTGAGCGACTGCAGCCCCCAGCTCAGGCCAAGGAGGAGAGCGGTGGGGTGGCGGCCGCAGCACGACCAGGGAGCAGCAAGAGGCGGCAGAAGGAGCACCGGCGGCACCGGCGGGCCTGTAAGGACAGTGTGGGTCGGCGGCCCCGGGAGGGCAGGGCCAAGGCCAAGGCCAAGGCCCCCAAAGAAAAGAGCCGCCGAGTGCTGGGGAACCTGGACCTGCAGAGCGAGGAGATCCAGGGTCGTGAGAAGGCCCGGCCGGATCTGGGCGGGGCCTCCAAGGCCAAGCCGCCCGTAGCTCCGGGCCCTCCGCCAGCTCCTGCACCCTCTGTCCAGCCCACACCCCCGGCAGCCCCTGTCCCTGGGAAGAAGGCTCGGGAGGAAGCTCCGGGGCCACTGGGTGTCAGCCGGGCTGACATGCTGAAGCTGCGCTCACTTAGTGAAGGGCCCCCCAAGGAGCTGAAGATCCGGCTCATCAAAGTAGAAAGTGGTGACAAGGAGACCTTCATCGCCTCGGAGGTGGAAGAGCGGAGGCTGCGGATGGCAGACCTCACCATCAGCCACTGTGCTGCCGACGTCGTGAGGGCCAGCAAGTGAGTGGGGGGGGCTGTCACCGCTGAGGCTGCTGGCCTGGCCCTGCGGGAGACTCCCTTCCCCCAGCACTCTGATATTCCTGTTCTCATCTCACTGTCCTTCTACAGGAATGCCAAGGTGAAAGGGAAGTTTCGAGAGTCCTACCTTTCCCCTGCCCAGTCTGTGAAACCGAAGATCAACTCGGAGGAGAAGCTGCCCCGGGAAAAACTGAACCCGCCCACACCCAGCATCTATGTATGAGTGCCCTGCGTGTTCAGAACCGCCCCTGCCTGAGGGTTCTAGGACAGTGTTGGAACTGTTGGGGGGCCCTGAGCCTGGGACGGGGCTCTGACCTCAGCCCTGTCTCCTGGTTGTCCCGCAGCTGGAGAGTAAACGGGATGCCTTCTCGCCGGTGCTGCTGCAGTTCTGTACAGACCCTCGAAATCCCATCACCGTGATCCGGGGCCTGGCAGGCTCCCTGCGGCTCAGTGAGTGTGGAGGTGGAAAGACCTGGGGAGGGCTGCGAGGATCTGGGGCTTTGGGGCCCTCGGAGAGCCCCCGCTCTGGAAGACCCAGGGCCACAGCTGTAGTGAGCTCTCCTCAGTCACGTGTAAGCCATATTTGAAGAGTGCTCTGAGTGATGGGTCAGCTGACCTCAGGCTTTCCTCCCCCCATCTGTCTGTCCCCAGCAGTAGGCAGGTGGGAAGGGGATGTATCTCGGGATCTGCTTAGAGTTACTTCTGGTTTTCTTGGTGATTAAGGTTGTGTAAAATCCAAGGAGACTCATGGTTTGGGGCTTTCTCTTTTTCAACCTTTTATTGTGCACAATTTCAAACACCTTCCAAAGTAAAAGGAAACCATACTGAGTTATAAAACTTAATCCTGTGTCCTGTAAAAACTAATCTTGTTTCCTCTGTTTCCTTGTAGCCTTCTCTTACCCACATATCCTCCCTTTCCTCCAATGTTACTGAAGCACGGTCTAGGCTTTTACTTGATGAAATCTTTCATTGGATCCAATGAAAACTTAAACTGTTATTCATTGAGCACCTATTGTGTGCCAGGTGCTTTGCACATGTGGCCTCATGGACACCTGAGGACTCTGGGGGAGGGGCTGGGACTCAGAGCATCAGTGGGAGAGAGGGGGTTGGTTATGATGCAGGTAAAGGCCAGGCCCTGGGAGGGCCAACCCTCCCAGCTTGATGAGGGGCTGGGGTTCTCGCCTGTTCTTCCTTGGCTGAGCTCTGAGAAGCCTGTGTCCACTGCGTCAGAGTCTTGGGGAGCAAGAAGGGAGAGGGTGAGTTGGGGCCTCGCTCCCCGCCCTCTGCCCCTGCCCCAACACTCTGCTCGGCCCTCCCTTGCAGACTTGGGCCTCTTCTCCACCAAGACGCTGGTGGAGGCCAGTGGTGAGCACACGGTGGAGGTGCGCACCCAGGTGCAGCAGCCCTCAGATGAGAACTGGGACCTGACAGGCACGCGACAGATCTGGCCCTGCGAGAGCTCCCGTTCCCACACCACCATTGCCAAGTACGCGCAGTACCAGGCCTCATCCTTCCAAGAGTCCCTGCAGGTGAGAGGCGCGCACGGGCAGAGGTAGGGGGTGTGGAATCAGGGGACTTGGAGCCCCAGCTGCGGTGGGAGGGCTCCTGGAAGGCCGCTGACCCACGCCTGCCTACCCCTGTGACCAAGCAGGAGGAGAAGGAGAGTGAGGACGAGGAGTCCGAGGAGCCGGACAGCACCACGGGAACCCCTCCTAGGTAGGGATGCTTTGCCTCTGCCCTTCAGGACTCCTTCCTTTCCCTGCGCTTCCCCACCAACCTGTGCTCTTTGCCCTCGCAGCAGCGCACCGGATCCGAAGAACCATCACATCATCAAGTTTGGCACCAACATCGACCTGTCCGATGCCAAGCGGTCAGTGGGGCTGAGGCCAGCAAGCTGGGGCGGGAGTGCTGATGGGTCAGCAGAGTCGGGGTAGCTGCTCACTTCTGTTGCCTCCCTCGCCACGGCAGGTGGAAGCCCCAGCTGCAGGAGCTGCTGAAGCTGCCCGCCTTCATGCGGGTAACCTCCACGGGCAACATGCTGAGCCACGTGGGCCACACCATCCTGGGCATGAACACAGTGCAGCTGTACATGAAGGTCCCAGGCAGCCGAACGCCAGGTGCGCTCTTCACGGGGCTGCGGAGTGCGTCGCGCCGCGAGGAGCGCGGGGGGCGGGGCTGCCGCCAGCGCTCCTCCGTCAACCAATGAGTGCACGACAAGCCCGGCTCCGACCAACCGTGCAGTTCTCTGTTGCCCCCTTCAGGCCATCAGGAGAACAACAACTTCTGCTCGGTCAACATCAACATTGGCCCAGGAGACTGCGAGTGGTTCGCGGTGCACGAGCACTACTGGGAGACCATCAGCGCTTTCTGCGACCGGTGCGCGCCGCCCTCCTCGGGTAGATAGACCCCCCACGCCCTGTCCCTGGATTCCCAGATTTCCATCTGACCCTGTGGCCACCCTCCAGGCATGGCGTGGACTACCTGACGGGTTCCTGGTGGCCAATCCTGGATGACCTCTATGCTTCCAACATCCCTGTGTACCGCTTCGTGCAGCGCCCCGGAGACCTTGTGTGGATTAATGCGGGGACCGTGCACTGGGTGCAGGCCACCGGCTGGTGCAACAACATCGCCTGGAACGTGGGGCCCCTCACCGGTGAGGGGGCGGGGCCGGTGGTGGGGTGAGCCACTCAGCGGTGAGGGGCTGGGGCCCCTGGGGAGTGAGCCCCGTGGGGGGGGGCGGGTTTGGAGGGCGCCAGGCCAGCCGTGAGGGAAGGGGCGGGGGCCCAAGTGTCTCGGGCTGTTGGGGAATCCTGTCATGACCCTCTCTGGCCCGCAGCCTATCAGTACCAGCTGGCCCTGGAACGATACGAGTGGAACGAGGTGAAGAACGTCAAATCCATCGTGCCCATGATTCACGTGTCCTGGAACGTGGCTCGCACGGTCAAAATCAGCGACCCCGACTTGTTCAAGATGATCAAGTGAGGGAGGGCCCTGTTTGGGAGGGAGCCCATCTCCATCCGACCTGGCCCGCCTTGTTCTTCCTTGTTCCAACCCCTCCTCCCCCACCGCTCCACCTTTTGCCGCGTGCCATGCAGGGCTGCCGTGCTGGGCGGGTGACAAGGCCCCTGCCCTGAGGAGCTTTGTTTTCCAGTGGTCCAAGTAGACAAAAACCACATAAAACCTCCACTGTGACGGGGATGTGTCGGGGGCTGTGACCCGGCCCGAAGCGGGGAGGCCCCGCCCCGCCTCACCACCTCGCCCCGCCCTTAGGTTCTGCCTCCTGCAGTCCATGAAGCACTGCCAGGTGCAGCGGGAGAGCCTGGTGCGGGCCGGGAAGAAAATCGCCTACCAGGGCCGGGTCAAGGACGAGCCCGCCTACTACTGCAACGAGTGCGACGTGAGTGCGCCCTCTCTCCCTCGCGCGCTTCCTCGGAGGGAGGCGCTCGTCTCCGGTCTCCCTCCCTCTCTCCCCTCCTTCTCCCCCCCCCTCCCTCCCTCCCCTTGACCGCCGCCTCCTCCCCGCCGCAGGTGGAGGTGTTCAACATCTTGTTCGTGACGAGTGAGAACGGCAGCCGTAACACGTACCTGGTGCACTGCGAGGCTTGTGCGCGGCGCCGCAGCGCAGGCCTGCAGGGCGTGGTGGTGCTGGAGCAGTACCGCACGGAGGAGCTGGCGCAGGCCTACGACGCCTTCACGCTGGTGAGGGCCCGGCGGGGCGGGGACCCGAGGGGGCGCCGGGGCGGGCCGGGCCGGGGGTGGGCGATCGCGCATCCTGAGCTCCGCCTGCTCTCTCCCGCAGGCCCCGGCCAGCACGTCGCGATGAGGCCGGACGCCCCGCCCGCCTGCCCGCCCGCAGGGCGCCGCGGGGCCACCAGCACACGCCTGGGCTGGACCTAGGTCCCGCCTCTGGCCGGGAAGGGGGTCGGGCCCAGCCCTTCCACCCCATTGGCAGCTCCCCTCACCTAATTTATTAAGAAAAAGAATTTTTTAAAAAACAAATATGAGGAAAAAAGGAAAAAAAATGGGAGACGGGGAAGGGGGCTGGTAGCCCCTCGCCCACCAGCGCCTCCCCTCACCGACTTTGGCCTTTCTAGCAACAGACACAAGGACCAGGCTCCGGCGGCGGCGGGGGTCACATACGGGTTCCCTCACGCCTGCCAGCCGCCCGCCCGGCGCAGATGCACGCGGCTCGTGTATGTACATAGACGTTACGGCAGCCGAGGTTTTTAATGAGATTCTTTGTATGGGCTTTACCCCTCCCCCAGAACCTCCTTTTTTACTTCCAGTGCTAGCTGTGACCCCTGTACATGTCTCTTGTTTATTCACTTGGTTATGATTTGTATTTTCTGGGTTTTTTGTTTGTTTTGGTTTTTAATTTATAACAGTCCCACTCACCTCTATTTATTCATTTTTGGGAAAACCCGACCTCCCGCACCCCCAAGCCATCCCGCCCGCCCCTCCAGGGACCGCCCGCCGCCGGACCCTCCCTGCGCCCCAGTGTGTGTCCGGCCCCGGCCCGTCCGTCTCCGCCCGTCCGCCCGCCCGCGGCTCCAGCCGGGTTCTCATGGTGCTCAAACCTGCTCCCCTCCCCTACGTCCTGCACTTTCTCGGACCAGTCCCCCACTCCCGACCCGACCCCAACCCCGCCTGAGGGTGAGCGACTCCTGTACTGTAGGGGAAGAAGTGGGAACTGAAATGGTATTTTGTAAAAAAAAAAATAATAAATAAATAAAATAAATTTTTAAAGTTTTAAAGAAAGAACTATGAGGAAAAGGAGCCCCGTCCTTCCCAGCCCCGGCCAATTTTAAAAACACGGACCTTCCCCTTACAACCCACCCCTCTTTTCTTTTTAAGCGTGAAACAGCCCAGGGCCAGGGCCTCACTGGGGCAGGGACACCCCGGGATGAGTTTCTCTGGGGCTTTATTTTCGTTTTGTCGTGTTTTTTTTTTCTCCTCCACGCTGGGGCTGCGGAGGGGTGGGGGGTTTACAGTCCTGCCCCCTCGCACTGCACTGTCTTTCTGCCCCAGGGGCAGAGGGGTCTTCCCAACCCTACCCTTATTTTCGGTGATTTTTGTGTGAGAATATTAATATTAAAAATAAAATCAGAAAAAAAAAATCTCTTTTCGATAAGTGCTGGTGGTAAGCAGGGAGAACACTGGGAAGAGGGCGGCGAGACCGTGATTGATGGGGAGGGTAGCCCCTCCCCGGAGGCGCCTGTGGAATGTCCAGAGCTCGGTTGCTCCTCGTTATGGGGGGTGCCTAATCCCGGAGCCGCATTCCAGGATAAGGGGGGGTGGGGTGGGGTGGGGAGAGGCTGGGCCGGGGGAGGGGCAGGAAAGAGGGCTATAAGGGCCGTGGCCCAGGCGGGAGGGAGCCAGGCGGGCCATGGCGGATGTCCCCGGGGCGCAGCGACCGGTTCCCGGCGGCGGCCCAGAGCCCCGGGACCCCCTGGACTGCTGGGCCTGCGCTGTGCTGGTCACCGCCCAGAATCTGCTGGTGGCTGCCTTCAATCTTCTCCTGCTGGCGCTGGTGCTGGGGACCATCCTGCTGCCCGCTGTCACCATGCTAGGCTTTGGCTTCCTCTGCCACTCCCAGGTGAGTGTGCGCCCCGCGGTGTGCGTGTGGGTGTCTGGTGACGGTGGCGGTGGGGTCTGTGGGCCACAACCTCTCCCGGCCTGGGCTGTTTGGCTTGGGCCTCATGCCTCTTCTCCTCCCACAGTTCTTGCGCTCCCAGGCACCCCCTTGCACCGCGCACCTGCGGGACCCGGGCTTCACAGCCCTGCTGGTCACCGGATTCCTGCTCCTCGTGCCGCTGCTCGTGCTTGCCCTGGCCAGCTACCGCCGCCTCTGCCTCCGCCTCCGCCTGGCCGATTGCCTCGTGCCTTACAGCCGAGCCCTCTATCGGCGCCGGCGCACCCCGCAGCCGCGGCAAAACCGGTCCTCGCCAGGGCCCCAGGCCGTTCCAACATCAGGAAAGGTCTGGGTCTGAGGACCCTCGAGTCAAGAACAATCCCGAGGAGTGCCCTCTCTCCCGGTCGGCCCAAGGACTTGAAGCCCGGGGGTCTCCCGACCTACCCTGTCCCCGCTCCTGCCTAAGCCGGGTCCCAGCATCCTCTTGAGGAACAGAACGGCAGCATCTGTGGACCCAATTCTGGTGAAAATTCGCCACACCCCGGAAAACCTACTTTCCCCTCTCTACCCATATCTGAATCCTGAACATCTGGGCTGGACCCTGCACCCCCCACCCCCCTGTGAATAGGACAACTGAACCTCGGTGGTGCGCTGGTGCCCTTCTTTCCCGGTGCTGCTCCTAGTATTTACGGGCTATGGGGTGGGGTGGGGTGGGGTGGGGTGGGGTGGGGTGGGGTGGGGTGGGCGAGGTTGGAGGGGAAGGAGTCATCACACATCAATAAAGAATTAATGAACTGAACGCGATCCTGGGATCCTGTGAACAGAAGGGCGGCACAAATACTATCAATCACTCCTGCAACGTGCCCAGGAGCAGGAAACAACATGCGGGTGGGGGGGGGCGTGGCTCTACTGCGCAGACCGGAGCATCCTTCAGCCTCCTGGGAAGGAGGCCTTCCTTCCCTTATCGCATTAGGCCGTTCTTCCTGGCCAGACCCCAGAGCTCTGTCCCTGTCACCTCCTTATCAATGGAGTGGAGGGAGCCCGGCCTCTGTAGCCTGTGCTGCTCCCCTTGGGGACCTGAGCCTGTTCTCTGACCCCAGCTTAGAGGAACTCGGTGTTGCCAGGCCGGAGAGAGAAACAATGGGCTTTCCGGAACAGGATGACACCCCCTCCCGCCACAATTCTGGAGCAGCTGCGTGGGAGGGAAGATGGAGGGGCCCATCCTGGGGCCCGTGGATCCGAAGTTCAGCCTGTCCCCCCATCCCCACCCCGAACCTGAGGGAACCTTTGGCAGTCCTGGACGTCCAGGTTGTGGAAGGAGGGTTGAGAGTGCTCCTGACCTCAGAGAAACCTATTCCTCTAGGGATGAGGTGTGTAATTCCTGTCCCAGAAACCCAGCTACACACAGACACAAGTCACGTCGGTTACAGATTTAATGAAGTCCGAAAGGCATGCGCGATCGTGTTCAGAGATAGGGAAGCCCCGCCAGGCTCTCTCTCTGCACCTCAATAGAAACGATGTGGTGTCCAGGTACCATGGCCAGGCCCAGCACACGGGGTTCCCCGGCAGAGAAGGAATCTGGAAAGAAGAGTCAGAGCATCAGAGAGGCAGGCCAGCGTCGGCCCCGCCCCTTCTGTGCCACGACTTCTAGTCCCAGAAAATAAGGGGTGCAGCCAGGCACTTAAGGGGAAATGCTTTGCGTGAGGCTTCGCCGCATTCCCAGGCGGGTGTGTATTCCCCGGGCACTGACCCGACGGCTTGAGGAACTCCTGCGCCGAGCCCAGGATAACATTGCAGTCGCGGTCGGTGCAGAGGAAGCAACCGACCAGTGTCCGTCCATCTGTCATGCGAATGCGCATAGTCTTGTTGAGCAGCGCCTCCAGCTGCTGCCTAGCGCGCGTAGCCGGTGAGTCCTCGCGCTCCCCATCTGAGTCCTGAGCGGGGCGGGACAGGCGCTCAGACCGCGCCGCCTCGGCTGCTGCCCGCCCGCGGAACCACAGCTCCCGACAGCCCGCGGGGCGCTCACACGAAGCCCAGAGGCTGCCGGGAGCTGCAGTTCCCCCTCCGTCCCCCCATCTTGCTCCCCGACGGCCCCTCAATCCCAGAACCCGAGCTAACCCCTGCGCTGGAGCTGCTTTGACGCCGGCTGCAACAGCCATTCTCCTCTCGCAACAGCATGGCTGGTCCAGCTGCGGCCATTTGTTCCCGGGCCTCCTCCAGGCCCTTCAACTTCCTAAGAACCTTTGGTGTCCGGTGGTCTGAGATCTCGCGAGCGCTCCCGACCTGTTTTCTTTCGCGAGATCACCTCTCCTCCTCCTCCTCCTCCTCCTCTTCGTCTCCGGCAACTGCAGAAGTATCGCGAGCTTCTATTTCGGCGCTGAGGCTCACTGAGGCCTATTACGTTGGATGTACCAAGATATCGCGAGAAATTTTCAACTCTAGTTTCTTACACATCCTTTAAGGAACCCTGGAATTTAGCGAGAATACCTTTTTTCATAATCACACTCCTCCCCTCCCTTGTTTTTCTGCCTCGCGAGACAGTATGTCCTGAATACTCCCTGTAGCCTAGGGTACTGTGAATGAAAACGGAGTGTGTTCTCTTTCCCGCGGAACTCCTGAGGACAAAACTCAAATTACTTGAATGTCTGAATCGGACTACGTTTCCCGTGAGCACGCGCAGCCCACGCTCCTCTCGCCCATTTACAGCGTTTGATCTCAGAGCCCGGTGGCCGGAAAGGGACAATGGTTTCCATGTCAGCGGATAAACGCGCTCGCCTTAGCTCCCGGACCAGAGGGAGGATGAAACAGAGAGTGCGTGCCGAAAAGCGAGGAAGCAACTAAAGGAGTCGGTGACCGATAGAGCAAGAGCCATGGCACGCCGGGGCCTAGTGGCCGGGCCAGACTTTGAGTATTTTCAGCGTCGCTATTTCACGCCGGCCGAGGTGGCCCAACATAACCAGCCCGAAGACCTCTGGGTGTCTTACCTGGGAAACGTGTACGACCTAACGCCGTTGGCACAGGAATACAAGGGTAAGCGCCACACTTTGGGCCAGCGTCGAGGGTGTGTTTGGGGGGTGCTTGGTTCTTGGATGGGTAGCATTGACGGCAGCTTCTCCTTCCCAGGAGACCTGCTGCTGAAACCCATCGTGGAAGTTGCGGGCCAGGACATCAGTCACTGGTTTGATCCAGACACCAGAGACGTGAGTTCTGCTGGAACCTGGGGTTGGGGGGAGGGGCACTGGAGAGCGGGATGAAGAGGAAAAGCAGAGGCTAAACAGAGCCCGAGATAGTGACTGCTCCGACCCTCCTCCCTCAAACCCTGCTTAAAAGATCCGCAAGCACATAGATCCGCTGACCGGTTCCCTGAGATACCGCACCCCGTGGGGCCGCTTTCTGCACGTGCCGCCTCAGCTGCCCCGTTCGGACTGGGCCAATGATTTCGGGAAGCCTTGGTGGCAGGGGTCGCGTTACGAGGTGGGGCGGCTGTCCGCCAAGACCCGGAATATCCGCATCATTAACACGCTCACGTCGCAAGAGCACACTCTGGAGGTGAGAACTGGTGCCCGGGGGCAGGTTAGAGGGAACCGAGAATCCCAGCAAATCTCCAAGCAGATCTGCAGGCCAGCAGCTCTCCACAACCGGTGGGAGCTGTATTTTCTTTCCTTTTAGGGGTAACTGAGGAAAGAAGACCACCTACATCCCCAGGGTTAGGAATTAAAGGTGTGGCTGGGCCACAGGGTACAAGAGACTTTTTTTTAAGCCCAGGGTGACAGTTTGTGCACCTTAGTGATGGTTGTCCTCGGAAGCTCTTACACGCTGTGTTTTTGTACAGCAATTGCAACTGGGCTCTCTTATTAGTCTACTCTATTGTGGGGATGAGGTGAGGGGGCAGTGACTTTAGGGCCATTTGTTTATTACAAGTGGCTGCCATAAAGGCAGGTAGGACTTGGGGGCCATTCGTTGCATGCTGGAGCTCCAACTTTATTTCTGGGACTGTGGAGCGCCTTAAGCTGCTCTCTGCCAAGGGAGGCACTCTGATCCCAGCTTTGGGTTCCTGGCCTTTGCGTGTGTGTGTGTGTGTGTGTGTGTGTGTGTGTGTTTGCTCGTTCAACCCACAATTCTGGGTGGGGTGCTTTCGTGTTCTCCAGGTGGGGGCCCTGGAATCAATGTGGGAAATCCTACACCGCTACCTCCTCTATAACGCACATGCTGCCAGCTACACATGGAAATATGAAGGGAAGAACCTGAACATGGATTATACCCTGGAAGAGAATGGTATCCGGGATGAGGAGGAAGAATTTGATTATCTCAATATGGACAGTACGCTCTACACACCTGCAGTACTGCTGTACTTCAGTGATGACCTCACAGAGCTATAGAAAGAGAGATGTATGCTCATGTAGGCTCAAGACATATTTTGAGTTTAGCTGTTTCTGTGACCTGTAGGAAAAGAGATGGGGATGGGGCAGGGAGGGCAGTACCTGGACCTAGACCTCCATTCTACTCTGGGAGCTGGCCTGAGGTTCCCATTCCCTACTGAAGTGTAAAGGTCCTATTCCTCGGGTTAGTTACAATTTACTCTGAGAAAGTTAGGAAGAACGCTAGAAGTGAATTAATTTTTAGGAATGATACAAGAAAATAAAGTATCTTAGATCATGGAGATGTAGAAGAGGATAGTCAGATAGAGCTCAGGCAGAACTTTTCGATAGTAAGAGAAAGAGAAGTCCTACACAGGGATGAGCGATGGAAGAACTTTTCTGGCAATGATGGAAATGGGATGACTGTAGGAAGATGGGATCTACAAAGACAGGAATAGGAAGTGTCTATATCACTCGCCATATAAAACTGGCTAATCTCTCTTCTGACTAGTATTCGGCAGCCACCAGGTAATTCAGGCTAGATATTATGCTATGTGCTTTATACACCTCATTTAATACAACTATCCATAAGACAGATACCATTACCACTACTTACAGATAAATCTTCTGAAGCTTAGTAAGATTTAATAGCGCAAAAGCCACACTACTTAGTAACCAGATTGCAAACCCAGGTCTTCCCAATTCCAAAGTCTACGTTCTTCTCAATGTCCAGGCTCACTGCACAATGGGAACCTGTAGGCCTGTTGTGTAGTCAGCCGCGGTGTTGTGCTTTTTTGTTTTGTTTTTTTAGTTATTGCCTTTGGAAGGGACTTAGCACAGTTCTGCAGTGGTAGAGAGGACACAGGGAAGGCCAAGTGTAAGCTGAGTAATAGCTGATGAGTCTACTTCATGGTTAATCCTGTAGGAAAACTTTCCTCTGACTTTTCTGAGGCAAAGAGGTGGGTATATACTGGTTCCAGGAAAATTAGAGTGGGAAAGGGCTTTTGGATTGGGACACTTTAGAAGGGGGAGCAAAAAGTAGGCATGTATATTCATGATGGGCCTGTGCTTCTGAGGGAAAGATGAGGAAGACAGGGTCGACTTTGCCAGATGGTGACTCTGCAAGAAGGGGCTTGACAGAGGTGATGTAAAGAGAGGAGCTAATTGGGGCTTCCCTGGTGGCGCAGTGGTTGGGAGTCCACCTGCCAATGCAGGGGACGCGGGTTCGTGCCCGGGTCCGGGAGGATCCCGCGTGCCGCGGAGCGGCTGGGCCCGTGGGCCATGGCCGCTGGGCCTGCGCGTCCGGAGCCTGTGCTCCGCGACGGGAGAGGCCACAGTGGTGAGAGGCCCGCGTACCGCAAAAAAAAAAAAAAAAAAAGAGAGGAGCTAATTAAGTCAGAAAACTCCTGGTGTTCAAAAGAGAACAACCATGTAGGGCAGTGGCCAGATTTGGTCCCCTGTGACCTAAGGAGGGAAGGGGAATGAGAATCACAGGTGAATTTCTTGACAGTAGCAGGCTAAAAAAGCAGCAGAGAGATGTTAGTGCATCTTTGTGGAAGGTGGCCCCCTATGAGACACTGGGTAGGCTGCAGAGGAGTGTGCTGAGGGGCTGACTATGAACGGCATGGACAGAGGTGAAGACATCTGTATCCACCTGCAGTTGTTTCATGTGTATCTTGTTTGCTCAGTTAAACCCTAAACTATTTGAGAACCAAAGCTATGCTGTTGCTGTAACCCCAGCCTCAGGGCCTGTGCCTATGGGATCTGCCCAAACTCGTCCCTCCTCCAGGGTTTCCTACTTTAGTACCTCTCGCCAGAAACACATCCCTTTCCTCACACACCCAGTCACTCTCTAAGTAGATTCTATCTCCTAAACATCTCTGGAATCCATCTTCTTTTCTCGAAGCTGTTATCATCACCTCTGGTCTGGACTGCTACGATAACTTCCTAACCAGTCCTCCCATTTCCTCTTCTGTCCTCCACACACAGCAGAGTGAGCTCTGAAAAACAAACCTAAACATCTAACTTTCCTCCTTCAGATTCTTCAGTGGCTTCTAGCTGCTTTTGGAATCAAGTGCTAAATCCAAAGACCTTGCATATATCAGCCTCTACCTTGCATCACCCCTCTTTGTTCACTGGCTTTCTGTTCACTAAAGGTTTTCTTGCCTCAGAGCCGGCACACAGGCTGTTCTCTCTGCTTACAACACTCTTCCATCTCCCACCTTGCTAATCCTACATGTTTCTTCCTCACAGAGACTTTGCTGATTTCTCGATGCAGGTCAGGACTTTCTGTTAAATTTCAGAGTGCTTATTACAATAGTAATGTTAAAATTATGGATGTAATTGGCTGGCTGGCTGCTAGATTGTAAACTCATGAGGGCAGAGATCGTGTCCATCTTGTTCACTGCTGTATTGCCAGTGTTGGGCACACAGTTGCTGCTCAATAAATTTTGACTGAATGAACTCAAATGTTAAGTGAATTCCTCTGCCTCTAATAACTAGTGGATGGGATGTTGTGTCCTTGGTGGGGGGCAAGGTGGGACCAAGAAATAGGATGTCTGGATCCTATGCTGTCATCTCTATCCACAGGTTTCTTTTTCCTTGTTCGCCATAGATCCAAGACCAAAAATTACTCCATAGAGGTTCTTCCTCTCACCAGATTTTTGAGGCAATCGACCTGTCTTTTCTCTACATGGCCACCAGGTGGCTGTAGTCTCCTACAGAGTGAAGGGAAAGGGGCCCGGATGAGGGAAAACACTTCCAAGTTCTAAACAGGTTAGGATTAAAGGTAGCCTGTGGAAACGTACAGGTGAGAGGGAAGGATCAGAAAAAAGGGAAAACAACATGGGCACTATTCCATTAGCATTAGGTTTATTCCTATTTTTAATTTTTTCCATAAGCACATGCCAGGAAAGGAGTGTAGCTTGGGAAATAAAACTCACGGGATAGGACAAGTAAGGGGTCTGATTACAGGTGTGGGTATGTACAGGGTGAGGCACAGAACTATGGAAGGAATAAAGATCACAGATTTTTAAGATAATAGAGTCTGTTCATTTATTCTTAGAGGGTTTTGCTTTGTTTTGTTTGTATAAAGCTTTCTACTAGGCACTACCTTGGTTCTCTAAATGTCCACGACTGTATATTTGCACGAGGAGTATGTAAATAGTGCCCAGTCCTAAAACCTAGGAAGTAAATAGAACATGACTGTAGGTCCTTTGGTAGTGATCTCTTCCATTTCGTAGGGAGGTCGGGTGGTGGGTGGTATATTGAAAGGAACGTTGCCTGTCCTCAGTAAATCGTAGCAGCTTCAAAGAACTCAATTTGCAAATATTTCCCACAAGGCTCAGTCACTATATCAAGTATCATTGGGGGTCATAAAAAGGTGTATGTTCTTTGCAGGAAGCTTGCTCACTCAATGGGCTAAAACATACACACATGAAAAGGTAAATGAAAATAGTACATGGTAAAGGACCAAATTAGGGTACAGAAAAGTTTCCACCTTCATGGCAAATCACAATTGGGTTCTTAACCTGGGCCTCCAGAAATGACTTCTAAATAGTGTGTGTGTGTGTGTGTGTGTGTGTGTGTGTGTGTGTGCGCGCGTGCAGATGTGTATTATCTTGGAGAAGGGTGCTGTAATTTCCATCAGTCTCAAAATGGCCCAACCCCCTGCCCCTGAAATAGTACACACACAAGCACAATAATAAAGACCCTCAAAAGTAAAATATCAAAGGTGACAATACAATGTGGTTCCTGGATTCCTGGCACCTGCCTCAATGGTCTACTTCAACCTGATACACCTGTGTTCCCATGGCGGCAATTCCTAAAACTTGAAGCCTTGGGGCTAAGTTTATAACTAGTCTGAAACATTTTACTGCCCCAAATTCTGATCTGTACATACCCTGGAGCTGAGTGAGGGGATCTATCATTTGGACTTGGGACCATAACACCGAGTCATGACATCAGGATAAGGTTAATGTACCCAGTCCCCACAGCTGAGTTTAGATTAACTACATAGATGTGTTGATAATGGGAGAACAGCCACTTTATGATGGAGCAGCAAGAGTGCATGGAGGCTTAGCTGTAGAGAAAGCAGACAATCTGAAACCTGAATGGTCTTGGAAGTCAAAGATTAAGCATTCAAAATACAAATAGATATGCAGTCCATATCTATTTCCCAGGGAAACACACACACAAAAGGTGGTGAGTGAATAAGTGAACTGAGGCCATTAAAATGGGATCAGGGGTCAAGAAGGTTGAGACGAGGAACAATATGGATGAGACACTGCTAGAATTAAGTCCCTTTCTTACTGGGAGCCGCCCAGCTCCCACCCTTTGGGAGCTTAATGTTTAGTGGGAACTTGGGCATCCAGTTTCAATCATCTGACTTAATCATCTCTGTATCCCCAACAGCCATATAATGCCTGGCATAGAGTGGCAATAAATACGTTTGTTTCAGGAATGAATGGCAAATGTAACCCCCACTACTTGAAATATGTGAACTCAGGAGTCAAATATATTCAGATACTGTGGTGTCCCTTGCTACTTGCCCACTCTCACTATTTGAAGAGAGCAGAAGAGATCTGGACAGTGAGTGACATTTGTGCTGATAAATTCTTCCAGTCCTCCTAGAGAACAGTAAGGAGGAGGAAATATTTCCTTGCCCTTAATGAACAGCCTATAGGAGTAGATATTACTCTACCACAGTGTATCAGGTGAGAATGTATTTGGCTGCAAGTAACAGAAGGCTGAGCTGGGGCTTAACTATAAAGGGTTAAATTTTCTCACATAATGAGAGAGTCTGTGGTGTAGTGACTCCACTAGATAGTTCATCAACATCACAGGTTGCTCCTGTTTTTGTCTTCATGATTATCTCCTTTTTGGTTGCTCTACTTCCTGTCCGTATTGTGGGCAGGAAGGAGGAAGAGGGGAAGGATGAAAGGGCAGTGCCTAAATCAAAGCAAAAAATTTTCCCAGACATCCTTAGCAGAACTTTGACTACGTCTCATTGATAGGACATGTATTACACAATGACCCTTAGCTGCAAGGGAGTCTGGGACAGTATTTTGTATTGACATCCACAACAAAACCAGGGACCACTACTGTGGAATGAGAAGGGATACTGGGTAGGAACTAGTGATGTCTTCCACAAGAAGTATGAAAGTGCTATTCATCCATTCATTAACAAAAAAGTTATTAATAAGCACTTTGTGCCAGGTACCGTTCCAGGTACTGGGGATACAGCAGTGAATGAGACAGGCAAGGTTCCTGCGTTACTGGGACTTATACTCTGGTGGGATAAAAAAACATGTAGACAAGATCATTTCAGATAGTGCTAAAAGCTATATATTATGTATGTGTATATACACATATACATATATGAACACATTATATACACACACACACACACACAAATACCAAAAGTACTATAAAGACAAAGAAACAGAATTACAAGAGACAGTGATGGCTGAATGATCAGAGACTTGCCTGAGATAATCACAAAGACTGATCTGTATTACCTGTAGTTCTGCATTTACCTGCATTAATCACTTAATCATCATAACAAACTTAAATACTGTTTTTACTTACACTGAAGAAAGAAGGAGACTGAAGCACAGAGAGGTTAAGTAACTTGCCAAAGGTCATACTAAGCAGCAAAGGTGGGCTTTGAAACAAGACAGTCATAGGCCACCCACTTAACCACTGAGTGGCATCACCTCCCTGCATGACAAACATAGGCTGCTGTTCTAGTCACCTACTGCTGCTTAACAAAACCATCCCAAGACTTAAGTGGCTTCAAACCACCACCATCATTTATTTTGCTAATGAGTCTGTAATTTGGGCAGGGTTCAGTGAGGACAGCTCATTTCCGTTCCAAAAGGCATCAACTGGTTGGATTACTAGAAGCTGGAGAATTCACTTTCAAAATGGCTCACTCACAAATGGCTGGCAAGTTGGTGCTGTCTACGGATTCTTCTCCATGAAGACCCCATTCTCAGGGCAGCTTGGGCTTCCTCATAGCATGGTAGCTGGGTTCCAAGAGCAAGTGTCCCAAGAGAACCAGGAGGAGCCTCAAGCACCTTTTATAACCTCACCTCAAATCCAAGGGGAAAGAACTAGACCTCACTTTTCAGTGGGAAGAGTGTCAAAGTCACACTGTAATAAGAGCATGCTGGATGTGAGTTGTTTTTGTAGCCATTTCTGGAAAATACAATTGACCACAGATGCACTGGAGGCAAAAGGAGGGATATCCAATCAGTCT